ACACCAACGATGGGGCACCATTCCTCCCACTGACACCAACGATGGGGCACCATTCCTCCCACTGACACCAACGATGGGGCACCATTCCTCCCACTGATACCAACGATGGGACACTATTCCTCTCACTGACACCAACGATGGGGCACTATTCCCCTCACTGACACCAATGATGGGACACTATTGCTCCCACTGATACCAATGATGAGGCACTATTCCTCCCACTGACACCAATGATGGGGCACTATTCCTCCCACTGATACCAATGATGGGGCACTATTCCTCCCACTGATACCAATGATGGGGCACTATTCCTCCCACTGACACCAATGATGGGGCACTATTCCTCCCACTGACACCAATGATGGGGCACTATTCCTCCCACTGACACCAATGATGGGGCACTATTCCTCCCACTGACACCAACGATGGGGCACTATTCCTCCCACTGACACCAACGATGGGGCACTATTCCTCCCACTGACACCAACGATGGGGCACTATTCCTCCCACTGACACCAATGATGGAGCACTATTCCTCCCACTGACACCAATGATGGGACACTATTCCTCCCACTGACACCAATGATGGGGCACTATTCCTCCCACTGATACCAATGATGGGGCACTATTCCTCCCACTGATACCAATGATGGGGCACTATTCCTCCCACTGATACCAATGATGGGGCACTATCCCTCTCACTGACACCAATGATGGAGCACTATTCCTCCCACTGACACCAATGATGGGACACTATTCCTCCCACTGACACCAATGATGGGGCACTATTCCTCCCACTGACACCAATGATGGGGCACTCTTCCTCCCACTGACACTAATGATGGGGCACTATTCCTCTATATAAATGCCGAGGCCCTGCAAAGTACCATGTGCGTTTATTGTTAGTGTACATTATACTGTGCTCCCCGCCCCATAGTAGGAGTACTGCTCCAGGGAGGCGGGGCTGCGCAGTCATGTGACATCGCATTTCTGTGTAGGGGGTGAGCGTGTGCACCGTCTACCCGCGCCACCATTGGCGGCTGGGGATGTCAATCATCGGGTCCCAGCTGACGATCGTGGGGGAGAGACCCGTGTATAATCAACGCACACCTCTCTCCTGCCAGCAAGGCCTCTGCTTTCTTCAGATTGAGATGTGTGTGTTCCAGCATGGTTTTGATGCGTTTTGGTGCATTCTGGTGCGTTTTTAATGCTTTCTGGTCTATTACCCCCCCTTTTTCTTCAATAGGGACATGTGCGTTCCAGTGCGTTTTTGATGCATTTTTAATTCTTTCTAGTCCATTTCCCCCCTCTCTTTTTCTTCAATAGGGACATGTGCGTTCCAGTGCGTTTGATGCATTTTGGTGCGTTTTTGGTGCATTCTAGTGCATTTTTTATGTATTTTGGTGCGTTCTGGTACGTTATTGCTTTCTGGTCTATTCCCCCCCCCTTTTTTTTCAATAGGGACATGTGCGTTCCAGTGCGTTTGATGCATTTTGGTGCGTTTTTGATGCATTTTGGTGCGTTTTTGGTGTGGTCAGTGCATTTTTTATGCATTTTGGTGCGTTCGGGTACGTTAATGCTTTCTGGCCTATTCCCCTCCCTTTTTCTTCAATAGGGACATGTGTGTTCTAGTGTGTTTTTTGATGCATTTTGGTGCGTTTTTGGTGTGTGCTATTTTTTTTTTTTTATGCAATTTAGTGCGTTCTGGTGTGTTTTTGATGCATTTTGGTGCGGTTTTAATGATTTTTGGTCCATTCCCCCCCCCCCCCTTTCTTCAATAGGGACATGTGCGTTCTGGTGCATTTTGGTGCGTTCTGGTGCATTTTGGTGCGTTCTGGTGCATTTTTAATGCTTTTGGTTCATTTTTCCTCTTCTCTTTTTTTCAATAGGGACATCTGCATTCCAGTGCGTTTTTGATGCAATTTGGTGCGTTCCTTTGAGTTTTAATGCTTTTTGGTTCATTTTTCTCCCTCTCTTTTTCTTCAATAGAGACGTGTGTTCCAGTGCCTTTTTAATGCGTTTTTGATGTGGTTTGGTACGTTTTTGGAGCTTTCAGTGCTTTTTTGATGCATTTTGGTGCTTTCCGGTGCATTTTTAATGCTCTTTGGTTCATTTTTTCCCCTCTCTCTTTCTTCAATAGGGACATGTGCCTTCCAGTGAAATTTTGGTACGTTTTTAATGCTTTCTGGTCCATTTTTCCCCCCTCTTTTTCTTCGATAGGGACATGTGCGTTCAGGTACGTTTTTGATGCATTTTACTGCGTTCCATTACAGTTCTGTGCAGAAAAAATGCCGCCTGTTCTACTTTTTTCAGCCACTGGAATGCGTTTCCCCACGTGCGTTTTTGATGCATTCCAGATGCGTTTCCTCACGTGCGTTTTTGATGCGTTCTGGTGCATTTGTTACACATTCTGTTGTGGTTGTTATGCATTCCAGCTCATTCATTTTTCCCCTCTTTTTCTTCAATTTAAGGAACGTGCGTTTTTGATGCATTTAATTACAGTACAGTTCTAGGGACGTGTGCGTTTTTGATGCGTTTTACCGCGTTCCAGTACAGTTCTATGCAGGAAAATGCCGCCTGATCTACTTTTTATTTCTGCCACCGGAACGGTAAGCACTGATGCAAACTATGCCTGACAACAATATCACCGACTTTCTGTGCGTTTTGGATGCAGAAAAAAACGCAACTGAAACGCATGGAGTATGAACCGGCCCGAACCCCTCCCCCCAAATTCTTCTTTTCAACACAAATCTCCTTGGGGTGCCCACCCAGTGCACGGGGCAGCCGCCCCTCCAGCCCACCCCTTGTCCTGGCCCCGCCAATCAGAAGCAGAGACCGGAGCCTCCGGCCGCCAATCAGAAGCAGAGACCGGGAGCCTCCGGCCGCCAATCAGAACCAGAGACCGGGAGCCTCCGGCCGCCAATCAGAACCAGAGACCGGGAGCCTCCGGCCGCCAATCAGAACCAGAGACCGGGAGCCTCCGGCCGCCAATCAGAACTAGAGACCGGGAGCCTCCGGCCGCCAATCAGAACCAGAGACCGGGAGCCTCCGGCCGCCAATCAGAACGGGAGCCTCCGGCCGCCAATCAGAAGCAGAGACCGGGAGCCTCCGGCCGCCAATCAGAACCAGAGACCGGGAGCCTCCGCCGCCAATCAGAACCAGAGACCGGGAGCCTCCGGCCGCCAATCAGAACCAGAGACCGGGAGCCTCCGGCCGCCAATCAGAACCAGAGACCGGGAGCCTCCGGCCGCCAATCAGAACCAGAGACCGGGAGCCTCCGGCCGCCAATCAGAACCAGAGACCGGGAGCCTCCGGCCGCCAATCAGAACCAGAGACCGGGAGCCTCCGGCCGCCAATCAGAACCAGAGACCGGGAGCCTCCGGCCGCCAATCAGAACCAGAGACCGGGAGCCTCCGGCCGCCAATCAGAACCAGAGACCGGGAGCCTCGGCCGCCAATCAGAACCAGAGACCGGGAGCCTCGGGCCGCCAATCAGAACCAGAGACCGGGAGCCTCGGCCGCCAATCAGAACCAGAGACCGGGAGCTTCCGGCCGCCAATCAGAACCAGAGACCGGGAGCTTCGGCCGCCAATCAGAACCAGAGACCGGGAGCTTCCGGCCGCCAATCAGAACCAGAGACCGGGAGCCTCCGGCCGCCAATCAGAACCAGAGACCGGCTTCCGGCCAATCAGAACCAGAGACCGGGAGCCTCCGGCCGCCAATCAGAACCAGAGACCGGGAGCCTCGGCCGCCATGGACGTATATACTGACACACATTACATGGCCGGTGGGAGGTCAATAGGCGTCTGCCTCCTGAACCCGCCATACACTATACAATCTGATTGTACAATCACCATACACGCTTCCGTTTTGCAATCAAATGGGCAAGCAATGGATTTGCCACGTTGACTTGATGACCCTAAGGGAGGTTGTACAATCAGATTGTACAGTCGGGTTGCATTATGTAGGGTGACCCTCGGGAGGTTGTACAATCAGATTGTACGGTCGGATTGTAACATGTATGATGACCCTCAGGAGGTTGTACAATCAGATTGTACGGTCGGGTTGTATTATGAAGGATGACCCTCGGGAGGTTGTACAATCAGATTGCATAGTGTATGGCCAACCATGAGCATTACCAAAGCTATGTAACACAGGGACAAACCCCACACAACGTATCCAATTTGCATCCAATCAGACAGGCCCTAACGGTAAATATAAAAGAGGTTGTACAATCAGATTGTATAGTGGTGTGTGGACGGCGTGAGACTACAATATCAGGACAAATCTACACAACGTATCCAATCACTACATAAGCTGATGGCGGAGGTTGTACAATCAGATTAGTACGTATGGATTGTATTATGTAGGGTAACCCTCGGGACGGGGGACCCTCGGGATTGTAATTATTATGTAGGGGGACCGTAACCCATTATGTAGGAGGACGGGGGAGGTTGTCCAATCATTATTGCATTGTCCAATCAGATTGCATTATGTAGGGGGACACTCGGGTAGGGGGAGCGTCGGGAGGTTGTCCAATCAGATTGTATTATGTAGGGGGACCCTCGGGAGGTTGTCCAATCAGATTGTATTATGTAGGGGACCCTCGGGAGGTTGTCCAATCAGATTGCATCCAATCATCAGATTGTATCAGATTGTATTAATGTAGGGGACCCTCGGGAGGTTGTCCAATCAGATTGCATTATGTAGGGGGACCGTCGGGAGGTTGTCCAATCAGATTGCATTATGTAGGGGACCCTCGGGAGGTTGTCCAATCAGATTGCATTATGTAGGGGACCGTCGGGAGGTTGTCCAATCAGATTGCATTATGTAGGGGGACCGTCGGGAGGTTGTGCAATCAGATTGTATTATGTAGGGGACCGTCGGGAGGTTGTGCAATCAGATTGTATTATGTACCGTCGGGAGGTTGTGCAATCAGATCGTAGGGGACCGTCGGGAGGTTGTCCAATCAGATTGTACGGTGTATGGCCCTCTGGTTACCTTGTCGGTGCTGGGTGGAGCGGGCCTCTGGGACATCTGGTAGACGGTGAGTCCCAGCAATGCGACGAGGCAGACGGCACAGCCGGTGACAGCCCACTGCAGCCTGCGCAGCCTCCCGTCCTGTATCAGGCGCTGATCCCGATCCCGCAGCATGTCCCCGACTTCCGGATCCCTCTCCATAGGTCACTGAGTCGTGCGCTCGATCCCAGAGCCCCGCCGCCGACAACACTCATCTTCTGCCGCCGTCCGTTCACCGATAAATAAAGCCACCGAAATCCGCCCTCCCGTCCCCGCCGTCCACTTCTGCCCTCCCATCCCGAGAGAGGGAGTGTCCCGCCTACGACCGATACGGCGCCGATACTCGACTCCCCAAGTCGGAGGACTCTGCAGGGGCTCTGCGAGGAAAGTCCCATAGGAGGTGATAGGATAGGGAGCCGCCTGTGTGGGCGGAGACTTCCACCATGTGACCAGGAAGTGCGGATCGACGCCCACTCAGCCGGGATCGGATTCCTCCTTTCTGTGTATTGTGAAGTCCCCGGATGGTGGCTGAGCGCCGCGTCCCGAGACCACAGAGGACGTCCGGGGAGGACGGGGGGCGCGACGGCTTCTCCCCAAATCTGGCTGCGGGGCGGATCGGTCCTGAGATGTGTGTAGATGGGAGATCCTCCACAGACGGGACTGCTGGGAAGACCGCACATTATACATGGCCCGAGATTAGGCATGACCTGAGATTATAAATGGTTTGAGATTATACATGGCCCGAGATTAGGCATGACCTGAGATTATAAATGACCCGAGATTAGGAATGACCTGAGATTATAAATGGCCTGAGATTAGGAATGACCCGAGATTAGGAATGACCCGAGATTAGGAATGACCTTCCATTATAAATGGCCTGAGATTAGGAATGACCCGAGATTATAAATGACCCGAGATTAGGAATGACCTTCCATTATAAATGGCCTGAGATTAGGAATGACCTGAGTTTAGGAATGACCTGAGATTATGAATGGTCTGAGATTATGAATGACCTGAGATTAGTAATGACCTGAGATTAGGAATGACCCAAGATTATGAATGGCCTGAGATTATAAATGACCCTAGATTAGGAATTACCTGAGATTAGGAATGACCCGAGATTAGGAATGACCTGAGATTATACATGACCCGAGATTAGGAATGGCCTGAGATTAGGAATGACCCCGAGATTATAAATGGCCTGAGATTATAAATGACCCTAGATTAGGAATTACCTGAGATTAGGAATGACCCGAGATTAGGAATGACCTGAGATTATACATGACCCGAGATTAGGAATGACCCCGAGATTATGAATGACCTGAGATTATAAATGGGCTGAGATTATAAATGACCTTCCATTATAAATGGCCTGAGATTAGGAATGACCCGAGATTATAAATGACCCGAGATTAGGAATTACCTGAGATTAGGAATGACCCGAGATTAGGAATGACCCGAGATTATACATGACCCGAGATTATACATGACCCGAGATTAGGAATGACCTGAGATTATAAATGGCCTGAGATTATAAATGACCTTCATTATAAATGGCCTGAGATTAGGAATGACCCGAGATTAGGAATGACCCGAGATTATAAATGACCCGAGATTAGGAATGACCCGAGATTATAAATGACCCGAGATTAGGAATTACCCGAGATTAGGAATGACCTGAGATTATGAATAACCTGAGATTATAAATGGCCTGAGATTATGAATGACCCGAGATTATGAATGACCTGAGATTAGGAATGGCCTGAGATTATAAATGACCTTCCATTATAAATGGCCTGAGATTATGAATGACCCGAGATTAGGAATGACCCGAGATTATAAATGGCCCGAGATTATAAATGACCCGAGATTAGGAATTACCTGAGATTAGGAATGACCCGAGATTAGGAATGGTCTGAGATTAGGAATGGTCTGAGATTATGCATGGCCCAAGATTATCTCTAGATTATGAATGACCTGAGATCATAAATGACCTGAGATTATAAATGACCTGAGATCATGAATGACCCGAAATTATAAATGATCCGAGATTATATATGACCCAGGATTATGAATGACCTGAGACTATAAATTACCTTCCATTATAAATGGCCCGAGATTATGAATGGGCTGAGAATATAAATGACCTGAGATTATAAATGACCCAAGATTATGAATGGCCTTCCATTATAAATGACCCGAGATTATAAATGACCCAAGATTAGGAATGACCTGAGATTATGAATGACCTGAGATTATAAATGACCTGAGATTATGAATGGCCCTAGATCATGAATGACCTTCCATTTTAAATGACCCGTGTTTATCTCTAGATTATAAATGACCCAAGATTATTAACAACCCTAGATTATCTCTAGATTACAAATGGCCTTCCATTATAAATGACCCTAGATTATAAATGGCCTTCCATTATAAATGATTCTAGATTATAAAGGGCCTTCCATTATAAATTACTTTAGATTATAACAGGCCCTAAATTGTAAATGACCCTAGATTATGAATGGCCGTCCATTATATATGACCCTAGATTATGAATGGCCGTCCATTATATATGACCCTAGATTATGAATGGCCTTCCATTATATATGACCCTAGATTATGAATGGCCGTCCATTATATATGACCCTAGATTATGAATGGCCGTCCATTATATATGACCCTAGATTATGAATGGCCTTCCATTATATATGACCCTAGATTATGAATGGCCGTCCATTATATATGACCCTAGATTATGAATGGCCGTCCATTATATATGACCCTAGATTATGAATGGCCTTCCATTATATATGACCCTAGATTATGAATGGCCGTCCATTATATATGACCCTAGATTATGAATGGCCGTCCATTATATATGACCCTAGATTATGAATGGCCTTCCATTATAAATGTCCCTAGATTATAAATGGCCTTCCATTGTATATGATCCTAAATGATGAATGGCCTTCCAAAAGAACTGTCAAAAGACCTGCGTGACAAGGTAATGGAACTTTATAAAGATGGAAAAGGATAGTAAAAGATAGTACTGTCCAATCATTTATTAAGAAGTGGAAAATTCTGGGATCTCTTGATACCAAGCCAAGGTCAGGAAGACCAAGAAAGATTGCAGCCACAACTGCCAGATGAATTGTTGGAGTTCTGAAGAAAACCCCCCACAGGTGACCTCAGGAGAAATCCAGGCTGCTCTGGAAGAAGTCGGTGTGGTTGTTTCAAGGAGTACAATACGATGACACTTGAACAATAATGAGCTGCATGGTGGAGTTGTCAGAAAGAAGCCATTACTGCGCCAATGCCACAAAAAAGCCCGGTGAGGCCTGTCAAGGTTTTGTCAGGCATGTTGTAACCGGCCATTGGTCACATGGTCGACCGTTTCCTGGCTCCTTCGTTTACATGGCCAGGGATTCCCATGGCTAGAAAAAAACTACTGGTTGTGTCCAGGATGGGAGATACTTTTTGCGCTGGGTGGTGAGCTTGCTTGGCTCCCTGAGGGGTTACCGGGCCCAGTTGGAGCAGGTCTGGGTCTATAAAACTCCCAGGCTGCTTAGGCAGGACGCCTCCATCCTGGAACTTGATCTCTCTGCAGGACGGACTTGGAGAGCAGCAACACATGCGACTAAAGACTATGATTTGGCAGTCGGGTGTCTGGGCAGCAGTAGGTTTCTCCAGGGCAGTAAATTACGATGCGGTGTTTGGAGTCTCCCAGCGTGGCAAGGACTTCTTTCCTGTTTTTGTTTTATTTTTCTGTTTTGATGCGTGTGCTGTGTGTATGCAGACTATGAGTAAACTGCACCTGTGTTTCACCAAGTTCTGCTGTGTGCCGTGCCTTTTAACCGTGGTGTCACCTACAGGGAGTCACGTAGAACCAGGGGCGGACTGACACCTCATAGGGCCCCCGGGCAATAGGGGATCATGGGGCCCCTGTGTCCTTGCCCAAACTCAAAAAAGCCTATGAAAAAGGTACCAGGGGCATCTCATGGGGCCCCCTACTGACTCCGGGCCCTCGGGCAGTGCCGAGTTTCCAAATGGTCGGTCCGCCCCTGTGTAGAATCCATTGCTGAAGGAATTCCTCGTGTATGGTGGAGGATGCGGGCCAGTGACATAAGGCCGGCATGGAGGAGTCACTGAGGGAGCTTGTTCTGGTGAAGGCCAATCAACAGGAGACAAATGTGAGTTTATAGCAGAGTCTTGCAGCCCCGTAGCACAGACTGGCAGCCCAGCAGCGAGCCCTGGAACAGGTAGAGGCCTGCCATAGCTGAGCTAATTCCTTACATATGGTGAAGGATGTGGGCCGGTGATGTAAAGTCGGCATGGAGGAGTCACTGAGACAGCTTGGTATGACGAATGCCAATCAACAGGAGACAAATGCGAGTTTGCAACAGAGCCTCGCAGCCTGCAACAGAGATTGGCAACCCAGCAGCAAGCCCTGGAACAGGTAGAGGCCCGCTATAGCTGAGCTAATTCCTTACATATGGTGAAGGATGTGGGCCGGTGACGTAAAGTCTGCATGGAGGAGTCACCAAGGCAGCTTGGTCTGGCAAATGCCAATCAACAGGAGACAAATGCGAGTTTGCAACAGAGCCTCGCAGCTTGCAACAGAGATTGGCAACCCAGCAGCGAGCCCTGGAACAGGTAGAGGCTCGCCATAGCTGAGCTAATTCATCACATATGGTGGAGGATACAGGCAGGTGACGTAAGACCGGCATGGAGGAGTCACTGAGACAGCTTGGTCTGGCAAATGCCAATCAATAGCAGACAAATACGAGTTTACAACAGAGCCTTGCAGCCCTGCAACAGGGATTGGCAACCCAGCAGCAAGCCCTGGAACAGGTAGAGGCCTGCCATAGCTGAGCTAATTCATCACATATGGTGGAGGATGCGGGCAGGCGACGTAAGATCAGCATAGACGAGTCACCGGGACAGCTTGGTCTGGCAAATGCCAATCAATAGCAGACAAATACGAGTTTACAACAGAGCCTTGCAGCCCTGCAACAGGGATTGGCAACCCAGCAGCAAGCCCTGGAACAGGTAGAGGCCTGCCATAGCTGAGCTAATTCATCACATATGGTGGAGGATGCGGGCAGGCGACGTAAGATCAGCATAGACGAGTCACCGGGACAGCTTGGTCTGGCAAATGCCAA